GATAGTGTATGGATTACATTTATGTAGGGGTTCCATATAAATCTGGCTCTATCAAATCTTTCCTTAGGTACATATAGTGTCCCTCAGAAAATATTAGGTCCCTGGGACATGTTGTGGGGATGCTAGATAGCATTGGGTGCAAAAACAGCCTAAAAACACAGATTCCTCGATTACACCATATTTTCATGGATTATTTTCTATGACCAATTGCGCATGAATTAGGCCGACAGATCTATCTACGTTTCATCTAAATTGGTAGAGAATTGAGTGAGTTACAGACAATTCTCTGAAAACATCCGAAAACAGAAAATTTCTGATCCGCGCCCTTGGTACTGACATCTGCTGTAACGCGAGACCGTATTGTCAGCAAATCCAGAGGGGTCTGTACCTATGACGAAAGATGACCCACAAATCGTTCTACTGCCCTGCGTTTCACTACAATGCAGATGGCCATAACTCTTCACTGCTTCGAGGGCTGGCCAGGAGTGAATTAAATAAAACCTTCTCTGGGTCGACAAGCCCTGCCTTCTACATGCTTCTTGCTTTTTCTTGCGTGGGACGGGCGGCGTTGGGGGGATTCCTGCCGAGTTGGCTAGATTCGACTTCCACCTACGGAGCAGGTCTAGCTCAGGCAGGCACAAACAAGAGAATAGCTCACCGGTTGTAACCTCAAAAAGCTGCCTCGGCAGCGTATATGAGGGGCCTGAATGTATCATCGAACCACGCATGAAACAGATGCTCGGAGCCGTGTTCTGAAGTTTCTTTATAAAATGCGGTGACAACCATTTCAAAGCATCCGCGGACGACTTGTCCTCGGGAAAGGACGTCGATCCGGCGAGGCCAATTTTATGCATTAGATGCTCCAAGGAGAGATTAGACGGGGCGTAAGAGCGAACAAGCTGGTGGCAAAGTGGTTGGATTCAATTTGGATGGCTTATTTCTTCCTCCCACAGCGTAGAAATCAATGTTTTGCTCAGGGAAGGTTCCGTAGAGCTTGATGGACATGCGCGCCGCCATGACGCTATCCCCACCCATTCCAGCCGCCGATTTTCAGAGTGGTCATCCGAAATCGAGACCCAAGTGTCTTCCGACATTGTGGGGTGTTGCGCATGGTATGTGCTACGTCAGTAGTGGCGATGATATGATTTTGAACGTGTGTATGGCAAGAAATGGTCGACATCGCGTCGAAAGAGAAACAAGGGAAGAAATTTGAAATTGGATTGCCTGCTCACGTGCACGCGACGGTCGGAGTTCAATACCAAGTATTACAACAAAGACTTAAACAATCCAACAGGGTATACTGCAATAAATTACCCTCCACCAGACCGCTACACCGCCCCGCCACCATCGCCGCCGCCGCCCAGCTTGACAGAGCGCCACCACCCCCACGCGCCGAGCCCGAGCACAAAGTTGAATATGCCCACAACCGCCGAGCCCGCGCCAAGAAGCGTGAGGAGCCACCACACGCGCCCGACTGCGCGGTCGAGCACGCGCCCCGTGTACCGTTTGCGATTGGCGTGTGGGTCCGGGGCGGGCACATAGTGCGCGGGGAGGCGCAGAACGGGCGGGGTGCTGACCGGGGGAGTAGAGGGCGCGGGCGGCGGGGGAAGGAGCAGGAGGCAGACGATGGGTTTCTGCGCGGCGTTAGAGAGAGAAGGATGGAAAAGACAAAGACGGACGTGGTCAGAGGTGGTGTACCCGGGAATGGAGGTGTACAGCAGGTTGGTTATGGCGGATTTATCCGGCATGTCGGGCGAGTCCGTGTACGTCGTGTACAGTATCCGGTCCGTCCATGACGGCGTACGCTTTTCGCTGGGTCTTCAATCAGTGAGCGTCCCACCCGCGGAGGCAAGATACCCACCTGTACTTGTCCACCTCGCCGATCTTGTACTTGTAGCTGCATTTGAACTGGGCCGTTCTCGTGAGTCAAAGGGCCAGGAAGTGAACAAATTGTCCGTACAAGCCAAAACTCGCCCTCACGCAGGCCGACAAAGGCGCGGCTGGCGGGGTTGCGCCGTTCGAGTAATAGCTGGTCGTACTCTTTCAACGCGTCACGCGCGCTCTGGTTCGAGAGCGCCTGCCCAATCGCGCCGGACGCGCCCTTGAGCGGGTGCTCAGGGGGCAGGACGACGCGGAAGTTGAGGTCGCCGAGCAGGAAGAGGTGCGACGTGTCGTACAATGTTGTAGGGATGCCCGCGGGCGACGGAAACAGCAGCGAACCCACGATGTGGTGCCAGTCTGCTATCCGGTTTGCGAATTTCTCTGCGTGTGCCGTGAGATGCGCGCACACGAAGCTATAAGGCGTTAGGCTGCGAAGCGTGCAAGAAGGAGACGCAGCCGTACGTGAGGGTCTCGCCAGGGCCGCCGTCCTCGCCTGGGATGCGGAAGCGCACGCCCACGGCGCCCTTGTTGGACATGTACCCCGGACCTGAGCCTGTCCAGCTAGTGTGCACTTCGCATGCGGTGTGAGCGACACTGGCGTCGCGTGCGTACACTAAAAGTGCGACGCCGCCATTTACAACCTTGGCAATGAGGGCATACCGCTCCTTGTTGAGAGAATTCTGTTCGATCTGCTCAAGAATGTGGGCGTTTCGATTGTCCACGACTTTTTTGGATAGGCCAGAGACTACATGGGTGTGTGAGCTTCAGCGCGCTTCAGGGTACAGGTACTATGCTAACGGCCGAGGTGAAGAGGTAGGAGCTCCTGAAAGCCTACGGCAATTATGTCTGCTGGGCGCTGGTGGGAGAGGAACGCAGACACCTGGAGGGTCGGGCTGAGCCAGTCGACGAGGTCCTGAGGGACACCGTTGTCGCCCTGCAGATTTGTGTTGTACGAGGCGAGTTGAACCAGCAGCATTATTCCAAAGTCACGTTGTATACAGTAGCTCTATCTAAAATATTTACTTGGGCGGGCCGCGGGACACCTCGAGGTCGCGCAGCTCGCCCTTGGCCAGGTCGTAGACCCAGCCGTGCACCCACACGTCCTTGCCCTTCTTGCTTTTGTGCGTCCACGCGTCCACGACCGTCTGCGCCATGCACAAGTTCTCGACCTGCATCTTGACGTTTTCCTCGACGATCAGCGGCATCGCTTCTGCCTTGGGCACGCTCGAGAGCTTGAGGGACGCGACGAGCTTGGTGAGCGGGGTCAGCCACTGGTTGAGCGGGGCGTCAGGAGCAAGGCTGGGGTCGATCACGCAGGTCTTTGCGCTGGCGGAGAAGGCGGGCGAGCAGGCGGCACCAAAGCAGGCGGCGGCGCCTCCACACTCGGTGTGGCCGACGACGACGACTGGGACGGGGGAGAGAAAACAGACACTCGGTTGGGATGGCAGTTATGACGGAGGAGGAAGAAAGAAAGCACCGTGTTCAACGCCCAGGTGGTCCACCGCGTATGTGAGCACAGACTGCACGCTGTTGTCCTCCAGGTGGAATTGGCTGGTCGTGGTAAATGAGCAAGGACGTCGCACAATTAAATATACTACCCACTTTGCAATGTTCCTGTGCACGAATATCTCGCCTGGGCGGACAGCGGTGACGACCGACTCGGGAACCCGCGAGTCGGAGCAGCCTATCCAGAGGACCTAGGTGATTGTCAGCCGCTCTAGACCATCGACGTGTTAGATAACACAGACCTGGGGTGTCTGACCACTTGCAGACTGTGCAAAGAAGCCGGGCTCCTGGCTCTCGACGCGCCTGGCCCACTCGGAGTTGAGCGCGAAGAAACGATAGAGGTCGGGATGGGGGGGCATGGTCAAGGTCAACTTTGGCAGTGGACGCCTATCAGGCCGCTATATAAAGTGTGCAGATAAATTACGATCTTTTGCGTCCGCGTCGCATCACTCTGCTTCACTCCTACCGCCATACTACCATCATCCACGTCCCTCGCTTGCGTTCCTCTCCGCTTGTGTGCTATACCCGACCTCCCCGCCACGACGTCTTTGGCTAGGAAACGCACCAAAGACGCGTCCGTCCCTGCACGCTCTCAGTTCAGCCGATAGGATAATCCCTTATTTGTTAACGCCGCTTCTGACTGCCATCTCGCCGCGGGAGAATATTTTAATTGCCATCTGCGCGCCGCGGCGGAATCTGCTGCGATTCACGCCGGTTGCACTTCTAAATTAAACACGGAACCAATGAATTTACAGCTCGGAGTCCGGCTCTCGCGCTCTCGCTGGTCATTCGGAATTATTCTCCTGCCGAAAAACATTTTGGGAAGACGCTCTATAGAGACATTCTTTTACTGACGGTTCACGGTGCGGCACTGAGATATTTGGACGAGCATCTCAGCTCCATATGTATCATCCTCGAAAGCTTGAAGCCGAAGGATCTGAGCACTCTCTTCTGCAGTTCCGGCCGCACTCTATCGAACGCTCGGCCGCGATGCTTAGCCTGGATACCATCTTTAGCGGCGCCGTCTCTACGGGGAACGAGCTCGCAGATGTGGTGGGCAAAGACCCGTCCCCAAATCCAGTCTACTACGGCTTTATATTTCTGACTTCCGTCCACCATCTCCTCCTGGGATACTGAACTCACTTAAAGGTATCAAAATCAAGCAGCAATTTTACAAGTGGCTCATGGCCCTGAACTGGGATATTTTCGAGCGGCACAGCGGCGCTTTGAACTCTGCCATCATGCTCAAAGCTTGAAGACGAAAGACCTTGGGACTAGAGAATTTCCCGACTTTACGTAACAGAGTAGAACGAGAGTTGTGGACGGAAGTCATGGAGATGAAGCTCGCAGAAGTTTGGATTCGGGGAAGGGTATTATGGTCGCATTTATGAGCTCGTTCCCGATATACGCTCTACAGGCTGAGCATCGCGGTCGAATGTTTGGCAGGGTGCGCCGGAACCACTTACTGGAGAGTGCTCACTCGCATTCACATCGGCAATTGAAATCACGTGGGCTACGCACCCCTTGCCCCTATTGTGCGCAAATGTCTCCAAAGTTAAGCCTCTCTGGTATTAATTGTGCGTCATAGATCCAAGAAAATAGGTAAGACCACTGGCGTCATAGCTCAGTTGGGAGAGCAGCAGACTGAAGTCGTATCACCGTTGATTGAACCCACACGTGCTTATGTAATCTGAAGGTCCCGTGTTCAAGCCACGGTGATGCCACTCTTTTACTTATTTTCCCTAAAGTACCTTGTTCAATCCACGTGATTCAACCATTTTGCTCAGAGGGCTAGAAAAGCACCAAGTCGAAAGGGGGAAGGGACTTGAGAGACTTTTCTATTTTATCTTGGTTAAGAAAAGTACCAAGTCAAAGGGGAAGGGACTTCAAATTTCCTGTTTCATCCTACTAGAACACTCGCTACCATAATCACAACGCTTTGATTTTTGGAGAAACAATGTACCCGTCCATGATTCCAGAAAGGACCCAACAGTTGCCCACAACATAGATGAGCCCTCTAACCCATAACCCGAAGAACACATTCTCGCCCAAGAACTCCAGCTGGTACGCCTCGCTGAGCCACAGCGCCTGCGTGCCAACCCACACGCCGACATACAGAATGGCGTTCTGGCGCGAGATGGACAGCCGGGGGAGGAGGAGCGGCAGCAGAAGCAGATACCACAGGAAGTACTGGAACGTATTCATACACTTCGGCGGATGGAACAGAACAGAAGGATGGATGGCGTACCTGGGACGTACACACCTTGTTGAACAAGACGAAAACGACGGTCTGCACAAACCACGCAAACACGAGATCGTCGTTGCGTCGCCCAAAGGCAAGGCCGGTACCGAAAGCGAGCGCCATTTGCGGGACGAAGCTCGTCAGCGGCGAACGGAGAATACGATTCCAAAGCGGCAGATCCAACGTCGCCGCTGCGTCGAGTGACGGGTAGGTCAAGTAGATGAGGTAGAAGTAGGGCGAGAAGTTGTGCCGGTGGTCGAGCCGGTGGAGGTGATACAAGTATGATTCGTACAGGAACGGGTACCCCCACCTGGAATACATGTTTCAATTGGACTCGCGAGAGTAAAAAAGGGACAGGACTAACACGAGGTAGCAGCCTGCGCCGAGAGCGAGGAACGTGAAGGCGCTCAGAGCCGCAAAACGGATTGTGCGTGGGTTGACCAGGGTCCGCAGGTATCCTTTCCATGCCGGAGCAGTCGCGGGCCCGCCAATGACGCCGAGGCACGCTACACCGTAGATGACGGGGTATATCTTCCAGTGCGTACTTAGCCCTAGCGCGACCGCGGCGGCGTCCCACCGGCCTTTGAGTGCAGCATACAGCGTGAGCAGCACAAACAGCGACAGAATAGACTCGGAAGAGCCACGCGTAGAGATGGTAAAGACGAGCGGGTTGAGGAGGTGCAGCGCGCTGTAGAGTGTCGCGCGAGTCGCGTTCTCGCGCGTCTGCGCCGCGGCGGGCGACGCGGCGGGCAGCACGAAAGAGATGAGAAGATCATAGATGAGCAGGCCGTTGAAGATATCGCAGGCGGCAAAGAGATATTTGCCAAACGAGGGATGGAGCAATTCATTTGGCGTCAGCAGCAGCGAAAGCAGCGGCGTGTAGCGATACGTGTCCCGAGTGTACGGACTACATAAGAAGATTGGGTCCTGCACAGGAACAAAAGAACAAACTGGCGCACTCTCCGACAGTGAGGTTCAGCTTAACTAGCTTCTTGAGCGGCCCTTGAGCTTGGTTTTCGGCGCCAGGTTGCAGGAGAAAACGAGCTGCATCGCTGAAGACACGGTAATCGATATCTGTATATTTCACGACGTTATGGGCGTCGTGCCATTCGCTATAAAGGATGAGACCGACGCGAAGAGCTACGGACAGAACCAGGACATTGCGGAAAGAAAGAAGAGCTGGCATGACATCACGTTGCGTTCGACCGCCATAAAATACACAGAAATTGATTGAAAACACATATGCAGGCCGGGACCTCAATAGCGTGAAGCCTAAAGGCCAACGCAGAAAGTATTCGTGCTACTGATGTAAGATAAGTCGAGAGAAAACACCCGGAGCCCTGTCCGTCCGCCCCAGTAAAATCAGCGAACGCTCTAACATCCCCCGTGCGTCGTCCTGCATTGTTACTTGGTTCAAATCTATTGGAACAGTCAGTGGAGGTGAAAAGCTGTTGGACAAAAATGCTGACGTATTGCGACACCCATCGGAAACCTGGTCAAACGTCAGTCGCGGCCGACCAAGACGGACAATGAAACTCACCTTCTCCGTAGCCCTGCCTCTGAACGACCGAGCACATGAAGATTTCGATAGGCCGGATGTCGTTGAGAGGGATTTTGCCCTATCGCAGCAGTATTAGCGACGAACTGGGAGCATGAAGAGCCTGCGCACCTTGCCAGTGGTCTGGTACAGGCCCAGGTGGTGCCTAAGCTCCTCCTCGCTGACCGCTCCCGGTGCGTCAATCTTGTTTCCAAGAATCAGGAAGGGGACCTTGGCCAGCTGCTCAATCGCCAGCAGAGCGTCGAGCTCCGCCTTGGACTCGGAAAACCGCTCAAAGTCGGCGCTGTCCACAAGGAAGATGATGGCGTCCACCTCCGGGAAATAGTCACGCCAGAGCCGGCGCGCTACACAGAGAACGTTGAGGTCAAATGATGGCGAATGCAAAAGACTACGAACCCTGTTGATGTCCACCGAGATCGTGAGTCGTGAATTTAACGTTGCCGATAGCAAGCTCCTCCGACGCTAAGCCGATATAAGAACAGGTGCGGGTCGACCAACGGCCCAAGCTTACTGGGGTGGAGGGTGGGCTGCAGAGTAGCGAGCCTGTCGTTTTTAAGCATGTGCAAAAGGGTCTGGGAAGGCCAGGTCAATAATGAGCGAACTGGGTATGATAGCCTATCGCACCGTTTTTCCAGCGTTATCTAGACCAAGGAAGAGAATTTTGGCATTCTTGTGCATAAGCCCTAGAACCAACTCAGCGGCCGTTGAAGAAAAGGGCAGCAGCGTCAGCTACCAAGTTGAGCGAGAACATCCCAGAACCAGTTGATGATGAACATTGCGAAACAGAAGTCGTTGGATGTATGGAGAAAAAGGTCAAGACCAGCAAGTCTGCAGGACGTGACGAAACTCACGGCTCTTATTTAGGTTGCTTACGTGGCAGTGTCCCACGTACACGCCTCTCCACGCAACCTCTACGCGTCCCTCTCCTATGTGTGCATAATACATTTATTGTCATTAATCTACATGATACATCCAAGAAAGCAATGCAAGAAAACAAATCAGTGCAAACGCGACCCATTAGGAGCACTACGATAAATACTAGTCGCAGGAGAGTCAAATATGAATGCGTCTAATTCAGAGTCAGTGTCCGAGTATTCGTCAGATTCCTCTGTCGGGCTCATCGCCCCAACGCGGAAAACATCACGGAAAGGCGTTTGGGGGACGTCGTTGACCGGGTCGGACGAGATCGACTTGGCAAGAATCGCGGCTACGCGCGCCTCCAGCCGCCGATTTGGAATGGTGAATACGGGCATCTCCGTGGACCGCTCGTCCTCTTGGAAGAACGTCGTCAAGTCATGCAAGTTCTGTACAAGACCCCCGAGATCCTCCTGCTGCGGACTCGACGAAGCGAGGGCCTCGACCTCTGGCTCAAAGTCGATGCGCGAGGGCCGTGTGGGCATAGAACATGTGTCGAACACCGCCATCATATTCGACCTGCACGTACCACGAAGCGTCTCTGATTGGACGACGCACCATCCAGACGGCTCTGGAACGCCAAAGACAGTAGCAACAGAGTTGACGTCCTTGGTCAGAGAGCGTGCGTGCATACTCATGCGCAGTACATGTTTGGCCGCCAGACCCCCAGCCATAGTCATTGGTTCCTCGAGAACCTCCAGGGCCTGTGCAGCCAAGTCCGTCTCGAGGAGTCGCAGAAGGGGCATAAGCAATTCAGAACCAAGCAGTTCCACCGGATTCCTAGTCTCCCGTTGTTGGAATAAGAGCTTGAGGATCTGCATCGCCTGTACACGCAACCAGCGCTGCCGGTTCAGAACGAGACCGAGGAGCAGAGTGACTATTTCTGTCCAGTAATCAACGCCGTAATGCTCGCGGAGGCTCGCCACAGATTGACGGAGGAAATCGTCCCGTGTGCGGAAGTGTCCTTTGACAAAGGAGGTCATGATTTTCTGGATACTCTGACGTCCCTCTTGCTCGGCGAAGACACTGATGTCTTCGGCAAACTCCTTCAGCGCGGGATCGTTTGGCGTATCAGGAGCCATAGCATGCAAACACCACGGTAGTGCCAGCGTGTACAAGTCGCGAAGACGACCTCTGGTGGGATCGATGAGACGGTCATCCTGGACTTTGGTCAAAGTCCGAAGGATCTTCATCGTTGCGTCAGAGGTGGCGGAGGATCGGAGCCCAGTCAGCAAGACGGGCTGCAGAAATTCGGGGCCATTCCAGCCCAGCGGCTGGTGCGAAAGAAGAAGCTCGGCAGTGCTGGGATCATCGAAATCGATACGCGGAAGGAGACTCTGCAGAATCTTGAGTGTCTGCGCGAATTCATGTTCGACCGTAGTCGAGAGAGAAGCGCAGGCAGACCAAAACATCTGAGGGAGCATCGACCTGTCAAGATCAGGCAAAGAAACCATGGCATGCATGGTGCGCATGATCTCGGCCGTAAACGACCTAATATTGTCGTCGGGCCCCGAAATCGTGTTTGACAGACGGCCGAGGAGGAGAGCGAGATCTCCCGGTGTGACACGGACCATGATTGCTCGGAAGATCTGCAATGACCTGAACGCAGTAGCTCTGATCGAGCACGATGTTCCCCAAGATAACGCCAAGGAGCCCCAGAGTTCCGCCAACGAAGGACAGAGCGGAAGCATGAAACGAACAATCTCTGAAGAGAGCCATTTCATTTTCGGCTCAACATCGACGCTAGTCTCGTCCTCTTTCCAGTACATGTCCGCTGCCTGGGCTTCAAGGTTCGAAATCGATGCCTTGAGAGCCGACCGGCTCGGATACGAAGATCGATCTGGAAGTTCATCGTATCCAGGCGCCCAGGACCGCAGAATCTGGAAAAGCATGCGTTGGGCTCGTGTACGGACGAATGGAAGACGGTGATCGAGATGGGCGAAGAGGGCGTGGAGCAGTATTGGTAGCTGAGGTTTCAGCTCCCAATAACGTTGCAGTGCGACATCCGC